ATCTAATACGTATGCTAACATTAGCATTAGCGCAACTTGTAAGCTGTGCAACAATCACTGATGAAATGGTACTAAAGCAATGCACTGCTAACACAATATATAAGTAAAAGAATACCATTAGTTTCGTGTCCGGATGTATTAATTTAAACATTAAAATATATTCTAATATTTAATTATAATTTATTATACAGCTCCTCACAGCAGCAGCACTCCGTTGACTTGAATGCAATTCTTCCGATCATTTTTTCTTGATAACAGAACTCTCAAACCAATAATGACCGCAGCCCCAATGCAATCTCTGTTTGTAATTCAGGTGTGTAAAATACTGCCATTACTTTGCAAGTACAACAAGCTATCAGCGCCCGTCACTACATTGTGCAGTTTTTCTGCACACTTGTCTGTGTAGAGAAGCTAGCGGAGCTAGCCACGCTCAATAAACAACTACATATCAATCAATCAACACCATTAAACGTCAATCGGACAATACAGTATACATATACATCCTTAACACACATGCACGGACGATTTCAGAATTTGCTGTCAACGTTTTCATGACAAAAATACTGTTTTAAAGTGACAAAAAGCGATCGCGAAAAACCCATGCGAAGTTACCATGAAACAGCTAGCTAGCTTAGCTGTTACCTGCCTAGCACGTCCCGGTGAAACCTTTGGGAGCTAACTATTTTATTTGCAGTCATTAAATACATTTCTAATTATAAGGGTTGTCTAATATTTGTTCAAATATGTATATTTTTTTAATTTTAGAATTATATTCGAATTTTGAAGTTGAAGCCCTGGTGTTAAGCAGCGCTGTAGGGGCTAGAGGACGCAGGCTGGTCGCTGCTCGTTCTGTGAGTGGAGGAGAACGAGCGGCCCGCTAAGACTCTACTCAGCACTTTTCACTGCCTGAATTTCATACACGGTGGAATCAATGACCTCAAGTTTTTAATTAAATTATGTATTATGATACAACTTGTATGTAGTAAAAAGCATTTTTATGAAGTACTTAGAAAAAAAATCGGGTATAGCTTCTTTAAATGCCTTATATTGTGTAGTTGGAGCCTCTAGAAGTGCAAAAAAGTTGAAATCAGTCTCTTCATGGGTTGCAGAGAACACTTCATATTCTGTTTAGGTAAGATTTTTCAACCCGTTCTGATTTTGCCATTCTCTATTACGTGTATAGAATTATTATGTCACAGTATTTGCAGCGAGACTGCTATATAAGGGCATGGGCGTCTAACAAAACACTTCGGCCCAGCCCTCCTCTACTGTGCATCACTTAATTTGTAGTCCAAGCTCAAGGATGCCAGCGAACAGGGCTGGACCGGCCATCGGGTGTACCGGGCAATGCCCAAAGGGCCGATGCCCATATTTGGGCCGGTCTGTCTGCCTCATACAAAACACATGTTATGAGAAGTGTAAATCCGTTGAGAATTTTTTGAGCGGGACGCGCGTATCCGCGGGGCACCTGCTGTATGCACTCGAACGGGATTCCGCCACCTCAGCGGCCGCAGTGTTCCGGGGCATCTGCGGCCGCTTTGTAATGAGCAGCTTCCGCGTCCAGCGGCTGCGAGAGGCTGTGAGCGTCCAGACGCTCGCAGCCGCTCCACCGTGTTGTGGCTGAGCGCGCAGCCTCAACGTGGCCATGTACCCAACACCATAAACGCGCACAGGACCATGCGTGTCTTTGAGTAATCTGTGCACCCAATAAATGCACTGCTGCAGGAAACAGTCCGCGTCTCTCCTCTCCTCTCGAAGTGCGATTAAACGCCCTAAATAAAGCTCTGATACCTACACTTTGCATTGCATTAAAAGTTCATGTTTGAGCCCAAAAGTAATATGTTGTGAACAAATTAAACAGATTTAGAGCCAGCAAATGGCTGACAATATGCATTTCAGTCTTTTTTGACCAATTCTCATCCCTGTAACAAACAATAGTGTTGTCTGTGTCCACCTCCCTCACTCTGAGACATGTTTATTACTCTCTTGTAATGTAGACTATTGCATTTTATTTTATTGTTGAAACTGCATATCCTGATCCTCTACAGTATTTGCTTCCACATACTGTATAAACTAGGAGTCGGCAACCTGCGGCTCCGGAGGTGCATGCGTCTCTTTCCTTCTGTAGAAGGAAAAACGTTCTTAACGTTTTTAAATGCTGTAAAATTGTGCATAAGGAATATTCAATTTAAACATTTCTGTCAACGTAGTGCGTCATATCCTGCGATGTAGGCCCGCGCCAGGCGGCCGCTGTTGTAAACAAACCGCGTGTGAGCATCATAGACTGTGCGCATGGATCCCAAAACTAAAAAGAGAAGAGTCGATAATAAGACTGGACTAAGAATGAAACTTAAAATTTGCTTTCAGTCAATGAGGAAGGACTGCTTCATGTTTGCGATGTAATGAGAAGTTTCTATGAGATAATTGTATCTGTGCTTAGTAACTACAAAAATGGCCGCTCGGGGTGGAGTTGAACTTGTGTCACCTGGATGGGGGCGTGGTCAAAAGCGCCTCATTTGCATTTAAAGAGACAGCACCAAAACAGGTTGCTCTCAGACGCACCTCAGAACAGGTGTAGAAGAAAGGCCCGTGGAGCTACAAATAATGAGACTCAGACCCAGGCATTGCAGTTACGCTTTATATAGGCCACAAATTAATGATTTAGATGTAAAAATCAATTATTTTAAAACACGATATGTCCACTTTAAGGCTGTAATAATAATAATAATGATTAATAATGATAATAATAATCATAGTGCTTTTTTGGACACTCAAAGAAGCTTCACATGTCATTATTTCTTCACTCCATACACAGTGGTGATAAACTACTACAGCTGCCCTGGGGCACACTGACAGAAGCGAGGCCGCCAGTATGTGCCATCAGCCCTTCCGACCACCACCAACCATTCACACACCAGACTCATTCTAGGCAATGTGGGTGAAGTGTCTTGCCAAGCACACAACAGCAGTTTGGCGCTTTACAGCTGGAGACACCCCACTGTGGCACCTGGTGTTCCCAGAGGTCTCCCATCACAGTACTAACCAGGCCCTGCCCTGCACAGCTTCTGGCCATAGGCTGTGGGTTCAATTGCCATAGAATAGAATAAAATAGAACGCATCCTGACCACAACAATACAAAAGGTTTCCTCACTCCTTGATCAGTCAATAACTAACTTTCTGTTGTGGGTTCAATTGCAGAGTGAAATCAGAAAGTGTTTTGTGTTTATCATATTATTATGAAGGCAGAAGAATATAAGTAAATTTGTTTTGTGTTATTTGTTATGCCAAAGGTTCTATGACTCACACTAAAACAAGAAAGTATTGCACACTCCAAAAATAATAAATTATTTGAGGATATTTTGGCCAGTATTCAAAGCCTTCATCCGATCCTTTTATTCTTTCATTCTTTGAAATATGTCACTATAGTGTGCAATGCTTACTTTAGTTTAGTTACATCTTTATTTGAGAGGGACAGTCCACAGCAACATTAGCTCAAAGACAAATCAAACAAGATGTGGGAAGTTTTTGGAAACGTAATCCGTTTCTTCCTTCACATTTGCACCTAATCATGGGCTTCTTGTCTTGCGTACAAATATTTCTAAATTATACAAACCATGCTTAAGGCCTAGGTTTATTCTTCTCAACGTGTGCATCTCTTTACTGCCATCTACTGGTACTAAAGATAAGCATAAAATACACATGGAAAAGTCTATTTATTAAATCTCATTCCAAACTATAAAAAACTATCCATATTTACATTATGATACAAATTTACAAAAATACAGTGATAGAAATGTAATGCTTGACCTAGACTTTATACACACATTTTGAATCAAATTTGACCACAGACGTTTCATAAATAGCTGGGTTGAAATCTGCTGTCCCTGAGCATCTCAACCTACATTCATAATAACTACAACTTTGATGCTTAGTCAAAGTTGAAGTCCTGGTCATCAAGTTTGTAGTCATCAAGTCATCAAAAAATCCTAAATTAACCCACGAGAACACATTGTAAAAACATGTTCTTGAAGCCAAGGTAAGACATATTTCCTCCTTTCTTGAGAGATGACAGCTATTCAGTGCATTGAAGCTCAACAGCGGCTCATCACCTTGATGTTCTGAAGGTAAATTTCCCCTTATTTTTTTCCGGTTGGGAAAATACAAACATCTATTCACTACACCTGCAATTAATCTATGTCTAAAACATTTAAAAACACTGTCATTTACAGATTACTCATTCCTATGTCAATGTGGGTACGGTTATCATATAACCGGTTAGGCTCAGTTATGACAATAAGTCTCTACTTGCGCAACACCGTAATGCTTTGTGGGTTGGGGGTCACATGTCATAGATCAAATGCACACAATCTAAACAGTCTCATTAAAGAGCCATATATAAGTGTTCATAAACCTCCAGATAAGTTTAAATTCAATAAAACCAAAGCTTAAAAATATCCGTACCATATTTGTTGATTTTGAAAAGTGTATTGGGGGAAAAAGCTCTTGCGTCCTGTATCATTAAAATAGTGTGTGCAGTTCTTCAAAAGGCCAGCAGATGGCAAACATTTCTATTGATTAAGTGTGTCCCCAACACTGAGGCCAATGGTCAAAAGTGTTCTTGTGATCCTTGAAGTTCCAAACTCACTGTAAGTTGTCTTCTCAGCCTCTCATCGGGACAACTACAACCACAGTTTGCAACACATACTGCATACAGATTTTAAAGGAGATCTCACCCCAAGCTGAAAAGCATTATCGGTAACGTGAATAGGGAAACATTTATAAAAAAATCTCTGAACAAGATCGTGTTGAGGTCCATTGGTGTCTTACACATGTGAATATTGGTGACCAATGGGCAAGTGGGAGCACACAGCTGCATTTTTCAGAATACGCTGAATCACTTTTACGCGATTTCTCAACACTGACAACATCGCACAGTGGCACCACAATTCTCTGGCCCTTTGAAAAGCTTGTTATGCGAACATGTCCAACTATTGTAAATCCTAGTGGCCGTTCTTGACTGGCTTCACCCGGTTTGAGCTGGTGTCTGAATCTAGCTCTGGCTCTTTCTCTTTCAGCATGACAGAGTTCACCTCCTTGTCTCTGCTGTTTTGACTGTTCTGTCGACTTTTCCTTGTGGCGGAATCCAGTCCGGTCCGTTCAAAAAGCCGAGCCATGAATGCCATGCCCTCGCGCCGGATGTAAGACTTTCCGGCAAAGAAGTAGAGCACTGGGTTTGCACAGCTGCTGATGAAGGCGATGGCTGCTGCTACGGCTCGGCTCCGATGCCAGATCACGTTCAATCTGGCAACGCAAAAAAAGAAAAAAAAAGAAATGCCTGAAGTTAGAAAGTGGAAAAGTGCAGTTTTATTTGTAATGAATGAACATGTTGGGTTTACCTGTCTTTAACTGGTCCCTCTGGATACAAAGCCCATGTGACCTGTTCAGAATAAGACAGAAAATGTAATATCGTATGTGTGCATGTGTCTTCATTTTGGTCTTGACAACGGTTGCTGAGGAGCAAAATGATGACTATTGGCTAAAATGGAACCCCCTTTCCTGAGACAGGTTTATGAGAGTGAAGTGAACATGTAATGTGTGTTTGTGAGTGTTTTGACCATGGTATAAACAATATTTTTAATAGGGCCGGGACTTTAACGCGTTAATTACGATTAATTAAACCCACAAAATTAGTGCATAAAAAAAAATTGACGCATTTTAATCGCATGTGTTTTTTCCACCGCGGAAACTTCCTCACTGGAGGATGAGTTTCAGACGGACCGATTATACTGGAGCGCCAACAGAGCTCCGTGACTTTTCTTGTTCAAAAGTACATCATAACAAGTAGGGCTGGGCAATATAAACGGTATAAGCGATATAAATTTGGCCAACGTTTGGATGGGATTGGCTGTGGGTTGCCGGTTGATTCTTTCGGAGAGGAGTTCTGTGGAGCAGAGAGAAGGATCTATTGCTTTGCGGCATTCTGTTTGAATGGCCTCCTCCCTGGGAGGTGGTATTAGTAGCGGTAGTTTTGAAGGGAATAGGCGCAGGGTAGTGGCCAAAAAGCGTGATAGATCTAATTCCTCAACTGGGAAAGAGGGAAACCAGGAAGTGAAAATGTCTAAACTTACGGAAGAATATAAAGCTGTGATTAAAATTAGAGATCAAACTGCGGACGGTTTCAGAGGGGTAAACCCTATAAGAGTTGCCGAGTCATTAAAACCTTTCGGTGAGGGCCTGGATGCTCGTGTCCTGTCCTGTCTCGTGTTTTGCAAGAGTAAAGAACAAGCAAATAAATTGATCAAAGTCGGGAAGATTGCTGGCAAAAAAGTACTTGCCTCGATCAGTGAAAAAAGAGAAATGGTGCAGACATTTCGGAGTCGGGAATCAAGGATAATCTCAGGGGCGGGAGTGTTAGTGAGGTTAAACGATTTAAGGCCCCTGTCCTGATCTCATTCTGTGGGACTATTTTGCCAGAGCGAGTATTTATAGGGTGTTTGTCTTTTCCAGTTAAAGTATATCAGAGACCCCCAATGCGATGCTTCAAGTGCCAGCGCTTTGGACACATGGCTGCTTCATGTAAAGGGAGCAGGCGGTGTGGAAAGTGTGGAGAAGGACATGATATTGGAGAGTGCACAGTAGACACCCCTACATGCTGCAACTGTGGTGGCTGTCATATAGCATCTTCAAAGGAATGTCAGGTGTATGCAAAAGCAAAGCAAGTACAGGTGGTGAAGGAGCAACACAAACTCCTATGCAGAGGCGCTAAAGAGGGTAGAGGGGAAATCTTCTCGGGAGACGCTTCCCCTGAGTGGATCAGTGGGAGCTCAAGAGTCAGGAAATAGGAGTCTTTCTTCAAATCAGGAGTTGATTACAGTCAGTAAGGAGTCTCTCCTTGCCTTTATTGTAGATGTTGTTCATGGGACTCGTAGTAAGTTTTCAAGATCTGATTTGATGTGTGTTGTTGAGTCTGCTGCCAGATTCTTGGGCTTTAAGGACTATGCTCCCCAATCACTGTTCAATTTTATGAAGGAGGGTCTCGAGCCGCCAGTGATGTCTAGCCAGTCTTCTGGAGGAGATGGGGCAGACAGTGAAGGAGGGGGAGGGGCTAGTGCCATGGACGAGGGTGTTCTCATAAACATTTTTGCCCATTCCTAATGGTCTGCATTCTGCAATGGAATGCCGGCAGTCTTATTGCGAATGGTCAAGAGTTAGGAAGTTTGTAAGGGATTTTGATGTTAAGCCTGATGTGTTGTGCGTGCAGGAAACTTGGCTGAAGCCGTGTCTTGATTTTTTAATTCCAGGTTATGACTGCTTGCGTGAGGATCGAGGTGAAAGGAGTGGGGGTGGGTGTGCCACATTTGTTAAGGTAGGGGTTCAGTACAGGCGGTGTGAATGTCGATGTCTCTCTGGAATGTTTAATCACAGAGGTGTGGAGCACTGGGGGGAAAGTGTTTATAGTAAATTGTTATAATCCGTGCAAACCATTAGCCTTGACAGAGCTTGAACGGATTGCGGGCTGTACTGGCTCCTTAGTTGTCTGGGTGGGGGATTTTAATGCCCATAACCCTTTGTGGGGAAGCCAGGAAAGGGATGTGAACGGTTTGGTAATCGAGGAGCTTCTGGATAGAGAGAATCGGTAACGCTTTATATTAAGGTGTGCTTGTTAAGTATTAATAAGGTATTAATAGACATTAGCAACATGCTTATAGATTGCTTATATGTACTTATAAACATATTAATATGCTGCTCATTTCACTATTCTCTAAATGATGTTGTTCTAGTTATATGCTTTTAAGCATTTAATAAGTAATTAGTAAGATACTTATTAAAGGAGGAATATGTTTATAAATATATGAATAAGCTGCTTATTAAACTATTATCGATACCATGTTAATAGGCCACTAACAATATGCCTATAAAGATATTAATAAGCTGCTTATTAATAGGCAATAGTGGTAATAGGCCACTAAAAATATGCGTTAATAAACTGCTTATTACACTATTTTGCAGTACCCTAATCTAAAGCGAGGAGCATTTTTGTTAATGCAGAAAAAAACACAACAATGATCTAAGATGTTTTTATTTATTCAAACAGCCACAATTTATGGAAGCCCGTTTCCGCCATGAAAAAAAAAAAAAAGCCTACAGAAAGTAGAAATTTTGAGTCGAAATTTTGACTTTAAAAGTCAAAATTTCGACTTTAAAAGTCAAAATTTCGACTTTAAAAGTCAAAATTTCGACTTTAAAAGTCAACATTTCGACTTTTAAAAGTCAAAAAGTCAAAATTACGAGTTTTCAACTGCGCATGTGCAGTTGAAAACTCGTATGTGTTGTTGTCTGGAACGGTCTCTGGTCATCCCTGTTATAGATCTATGACCATGGGTCATCCTCTACCTGCAGATTATGTGAAGATTTTGCCTACAGACAGTGACCACATCCATGAAGTAGCAGCAATAATGTTGTGGTAGTAATCGCGTTATAATGCAAACGGTCTCTCCGTTTATGATTAGAATCCGCTTCAGAAGCCTCTATTTAATTTATCCTAAACGGACTGTGGAAGATTAATAATAAAACACATGTGGCTGTTCAAAGTCATTGAGCATCAACTGGTGACGTCTGGTCAGTATCACGGCTATCGATGGATGCACCAGAAATGCAGTGAATAATATTGTGACTGACAGAGACCGTTCGCGATTACAGGACAGTGAGGGAGGTCCGCAGACAGAGACAGGAGAACCACAGACAGAGGCAGGTGAACCACAGACAGAGGCAGGAGAACCACAGACAGAGGCAGGAGAACCACAGACAGAGACAGGAGAACCACAGACAGAGGCAGGTAAACCACAGACAGAGGCAGGAGAACCACAGACAGAGGCAGGTAAACCACAGACAGAGGCAGGAGAACCACAGACAGAGGCAGGTAAACCACAGACAGAGGCAGGAGAACCACAGACAGAGGCAGGTAAACCACAGACAGAGGCAGGAGAACCACAGACAGAGGCAGGTAAACCACAGACAGAGGCAGGAGAACCACAGACAGAGACAGGAGAACCACAGACAGAGGCAGGAGAACCACAGACAGAGACAGGAGAACCACAGTCACGGGCACTGACAATAATACCCTTTTGGAATTGCGATTAGTGCATTGAAGAGTATGTGACGTGTTTGCGTGCATGCGGGGGTGAGCTGATGGAGCGAGCGTGTGGGTAAAGTTGTTGGCGTATGAGCAAGAACACAGAGACATACAGGGAATAAGTACCTTGTCTGATTATTTTATTGTGACAAAATAAAGCCCACGACTCTTTTAGCAACAATCCGGAGAAATAACTCCGCAGATAACAGTGAGGGTCTTTGAAAAGGGTTAGAAATAGATAAACCCATTATAGATGCATGAATAAAACCCCGTACTCAACACGTAGAAAGCGCATCCTTTCAGCCGTGGAAATACTCGCTCCGTGTGGACAATGTCTCGATGGCTCATTTTCCTTTGATTTATTATAAAAACGTATTGCTCACATTATTTGTTACTATGTCGAAATAAGAAGTCGTTTGATTTAAATGCTGTAAACTGAAGGATTTAAGAAGAAAAAAAGTTCAGGAGGACAAGGGACACTAAAATCCCCAGAAAATCCGAACTTTATGAAAGCTGTGGGTTCTCTGTCAGGTTCTCTGTCAGCTGAGGTCGAGCTGTTTTAATTTACATTGAGTTCTATGGGACTTTTTCTGGGTAGCCCTCATGAATTTAGTCTGCAGTACCGCAGCGCCCCTTGTGCCCATGGGTGGGACAGCTATAAGATAGGAATACACTATCCAGTTATTATTATAGTTCCATGGTTGTGCCACAGGTGCGTTGTATACATGGATCTATTATAATAACTGGATAGGGTATTACTAGCTTGTAGCTCGGGAGATTCTCGTGGTACTGCAAACTAGATTCACGTGGGCTACCTAGAAATTGTCCCATAGAACTCAATGTAAACTAAAACAGCTCGACCTCAGCTGACAGAGAACCTACAGCTTTCATAAAGGTCGGATTTTGTGGGGATTTTAGTGTCCCTTGTCATCCTGAACTTTTTTTCTTCTTAAATCCTTCAGTTTTCTTTAAATCCACATTTTACTGCCACAAACTCCGCTCGTCTGGCTCTTACTCCCGCTGTAACTCCCACTCTGATCAGCAGCTCTGATTGGTCAGAGCGCGGCCCCTATGTGCACGTGCATGACAGCCACGCACGCGTATTTGGCGCAAAGCATCATGGGAGCTCGTCAACTGTGCAGACCAGACGATGACCAAAAATAGGCGAGTTCCGCTAATAGGGGTGTGACGATACTTTCTCCCGCGATTCGATTATCGATATGCATTTGCCAAGTATCGATATCAATTTTGAAAAAAAGATATATATATATATGTTTTTTTTTTCGTTTTTATTGGTATCAATA